TTTACAGTGTGTTATTAACAGGCATCCTTTACAAACTTCTTTGCTTGATAATAAACATAAAGACAGCCCAGGTGAAAATAAGACTGCCACTCCTGCACTTACATTAGATCCATGACTTAAAAATAAACCCCCCTCCCCACCATATTTTCCACTGGACTTCATCGTCCTCGTCACTGTGAGTTTCTTGCAAAAACAGCACATCCAGCTTTTTATGTTGCATGTGCTGCTTAAGCATTTCACGCTTATAAACATCTCTAGCACCATTTATATTCAAAGATCCCACACGTAAGGTATCCATGAGGAGAACAGAGGAACCCAACAGCAGGAAACACCAAAAGCATTTCACCCAAAGATGTGCAAGAGAAGACCTGTCTGTCATAGCTGGCTAGTTCAAGCTTTTGCGCACTACTGTGGTCCACTTCTTCAGTCTGAACCTGCTCTTAGGTGACAGCACTTTACTAGTCTCGTTTTTAGCAGCGTATTGCACTGATCTGAGGAACTTTTGGGAGTCTGGAAAGAAGCTGTTCAGAGATACATTTCGTTTACCTTTGGTTGCTCGTAAAAAGCTGTTTATATATGCTATGGAGTACACATCACTGGCCTGCCCAGACAATCCAGCAGGCACACCTGGCTCATCGGCCTGCGTTGGTGGTTCTGGCTGGCTAGACCAGCTGGCCGGTATCTCTGAACAGTCTGACAGCAGACTCTCAACCTCAGAATCAAACTCACCCCCTCCAACTCACCTACATGCTCTCCATGAACACTGCTGTCTGTGATCCTATGATGTTCTATGACTGGCTCTTCATCCTCCCTCACTGGCCTGCCTGTCTTTTTTTACTTTTTTCACTAACGGCAGCACTGGCATCACCCCCGGGGCTCCCGCTAGTGAGTCCTGCAGCATGAACGCCAACTGTGGCCTCTTCCACAGCGGCGACACTCATAGATGCAGGCCCACCATCGACTCCCTCCGAGGTTGTGGCAACTTCCCCCCTACTACTCCCCGCAGCTGCCCCTCCTGTGTGTTGGCCTGGTCAGTGTCTAAGCGCACCTGCTGCGCTGCTCTGTGCGGGCAGCCGAACTGTTTATGGCCGATATCTCCGCACTCAAAGCAGCGGAGTCTCTCCGTGCTCGCAAACACGATATACGAGCCGTCTCCGTGTTTACATCTGAAACTGGCGTCTAATGACTGATCGCGGTTGTTTAGAAACATGAAAATCTGCCTGCGAAACGACAGAACATGTTTGACCGCAGAGTTTTTGCACCCCAGAGGAATCATTTTCATGTCGCTACCGAATTTGCCAAACCGGGCGATATTTCAGTATCGCCTCATTTTTTATGAATGGAGGAACATTGGAGACGATGACACGGGTCGCAGGTGCGCTTAGCGGGCTAACCTGTACCATGTTTCCCTTCACCCATATCCCTGACTCAATCAGCCTGCTCACACAGCTCTCTGTCCCCAGGAACACCACCACTGCTTTATTCATACGGGAGGCTGAGTAAATGTTCTCACGCCCTACCTGCTCTCCCACCGCTAACAGCACATCCTCCACCGTCGTGAAAGAAAAAGCAAAGAAAAGTAAAAGGGAAAAGTTAGAAAAGTTGGCTAGAAGCCAGAAACCTCTGCCTGCCGCCACAGAAACGCCACGTGTGCGCAGAGAGAGAGAGAGAGAGAGAGAGAGAGAGAAAGACAAAGAGACAGAGAGAGGGAGAGAGATAGAAAGAGAGAGACAGAAAGACAGAGAGAGAGGGAGAGAGAGAGAGAGAGAGAGAGAGAGAGAGAGAGAGAGAGACTTGACTTGTAAACCCACTTTATTTAAACAATACCTTACACAGTCCTGTTGTCATATTCTAGCCACAAGACCCCACCCTGTCCCCACACTCGATGAAAGGCAGGCAGGTTGTGAGTCATCTTAAAATAAGCGTATTCAATTCTAAGCCTAATCTGTACTGCAGCTCTCAGCATTAGTTCAGGGTCCAGCGTCCCACTCCCCTGGATTTTATTCTTCCTTGAAAGCCAGACAGCAAGTTTACCCTGACCTACCAGAAAGTTCAATAAACACAGCTTATCTCTATGAGCAGCAACATATTTTGGGCCAAAGACATAGAGACCATCTGTCCACAGTATTCCAAGCCCACGACACCAAACCTTCAGTAAGTTTAGCAGACCTGTGAGCCTGACACAGTGTAGAAACAAATGCTCTACAGCTTCCTCCCTCCCACAGAACGGACACTCACTCACTATAGTGGGGTCGATATGCACCACGTGTCTGTTAGTGGCCACGGCCCCATGTACAATCTTCCACTACAGATCCCCCGTACGCTTCTCGATTGGAGGCTTGTACAGGGATCTCCAACTGCCTTGTGGAGAAGAGCCTGGTGCCAACAAACCCAACCACGTCGATTCCTTCAAGCCATCCAGTGAAGTTCTGTGAAGGACTTTCACACAGACATCATACAGGGCCTTCTTGGATGTATCTGCAAAGCCAGCTAGTTGCAGAGTCCTGAACGAGAGAAGTGCTCCCTCCTCCTCTTGATAATCCCCTATTTCTGCAGTAATAGGGAGAGAAGGGAAGGGCTCCTGGTCTCCTCCTGAGTGGTGCTCTAAGGCCTCCCTAAGAGAAGTGGGCAGTGTTGAGATCACTTCTCCTATGATTCTCTGCAGCAGTCGAACAGACAAAATACCAGTTGCAGCACCTAGAACATCACCAGATTTCCAGTCCTCACCAACTCACAGATCTCCTAGTTTCGTAATACCTGCCCCTCAAAAGCGCAGGCGGATACTTCTGAAGGTCAGCTCAGTGACTGGAATCAAAGGATTGAAGAACAGACGGTCCTCTTCAACAAGAGAACAAAGCTGGACCTCAGATCTGGTAGTCCTAAGTGCCAAGAACCAAGCCCTCAGCACCGACTGATAGAAAGCAGAGGTCCCAGACAGGTCCATCTCTCTTAGCCGCAACACAAATAGATGTCTCTCATATCCCAAGCCTTCCACCCGTCGCAGCAGAGCACAGGCAGTAGCAGCCCACGCCAACCCTGAGCCATACAAGAGTCTTTGTGCTGTTTGGAGTCTGAAAGTCCTTATTCAGCTCGACAGATCGATCAGACCCTGACCTCCCTCATGCACAGGCAGATATAGGACGGCAGCACATGTCCAGTGTTGGCCAGTCCAAAAAAAATCCACCAGTTTTCTCTGGATCTCCTTGATCAGCAGGTCAGGTGGCTCCAGCACAGTGAGCCTGTGCCACAGCATTGAGGCAATCAAGATGTTGGCCACCAAGAACCTTCCCCTGTAGGACAGCTGAGGCAGGACCCAAGCCCATCGAGACAACTTGGCACAGACCTTCTCCACTACTCCCTCCCAATTCTTATCCTGATATGCTGCTGTTCCTAGAAATAAACCAAGATACTTCAAACCCTGCGACCCCCACCGTAGGCCTGCTGGCAAAACTGGTGCCCCTCTACCCTGCCATTGTCCCAAAACAAAACCCTCTGATTTATCCCAATTTACACGGGCAGAAGATGCACCCTCATACATGCGCAGAGTTTGAGTCAAGGCCTGAACATCCTCATTGTCTCTAATAAAGACAGTTACATCATCTGCATATGCAGACAACACCACCCTATCAGCTGCCCAGACAGAGGACACCCCTGCCTAATTCCCCTTAGCATCTTGATCGGACAACTGAGCCTTGCTTCATTCTGTTGGAAAGACATTTAGACAGTATTCTTATAGTCTGTGCGTAGTAGGGCCACAGGCCTCCAATTCTTCAGAAGTCCCAAATTGCCCTTCTTAGGGAGAAGAGATAACACTGCCCATGTACAGCTAAGGGGCAGCTTTCCCGCTTGACCACTTAAAAACATCAAACAAGTTAATTCCAACAATGTTCCAAAAGCTCTTGTAAAATTCAGCAGGCAGTCCGTCAATGCCTGGTGAACGTCCAGTGGTGAGTTGTTGAACAGCAGAAGTCAATTCATGAAATTGAATGTCTGAGTCCATTGCTTCAACGTGATGTCCCAATTTTTGGTAGCCCCTCCGCGGTCGAAACTGGTGACATCAGCACGGTAAAGATCTGTATTAAAATCCTCTGCAATCTTCCTCATCTCAGCAGGCACTGAGGTCAAGTGTCCTTCAGGGTGTTGGAGAAACTGTATCGGATTTTGGTGTGTCCCTTTCCGCTCTAAATTGAAGAAGAAGGCACTTGGGGCATCCATATCTTTGATACTGGAGACACGAGCTCTAGTCAGAGCCCCTTTTGCCTGCTCATACAAGTATGAGCCCAAAGCCTTCCTTTTCCCCTTCAATAAATTACTAACTCCAGCATCATACTTCATCCTGAAGCAGCTTCACATTAAAGCACCAATAAGATCTAGATTTGGTCACTGGCATATCCACAGTCGCCACAGACTCAGCAACAGCTGCTTCACCACTGCTTACGGCTTCCACACGTGCAGATAGCGCAGCATCACGGTCACCCTCTCCTTCATGCGCCTCTAAAGAAGCCTGATACCCATCTAGATGTACAGTTTCTACCCCGTGCACTCCAACTTCATTGACAGAAACCGAGACACTTTTATCAGTGGCGGCCGCTGCAGTAGGGTGCTCCTCAGTACCCTCGCCCGGCCCTGCGCCCTGATCTACTAGCACCTGCCTCCCTTCACCTCCGCTAGTGCCGGGCCCCGTTTCCTCAGACACTCACGCTCTGTGCGGACAGATCAGCCTCTTATGACCAACATCCCTGTACTCAAAGCATCGCATACTCCCCGTACTCGCGTATAACATATACGATCGACCCTCATAGGAAACTCTGAACGAAATGTCCAAAGTAGCCTCATTCAAAAACATCAGCACCCGCTGTCTAAAGGACAAAACATGCTGGAGAGACAGAGAGACAGAGAGAGGAAGAGAGAGAGAGGGAGAGAGACAGAGAGAGAGAGAGAAAGAGAGAGACATAGAGAGAGAGGGAGAGAGAGAGGATACAGCAGGAAGGTAAAGGTACCGTGGACGTGTAAACTGTAGGTGAGTGAGATGTTTCCAGCTGGATTAGAAGCTGAGCAGGTGTAAAGTTTACTGTCCATCAGCTGGACCTCCATAATCTTCAGAGAACCAGTGGGCAGCACAGCAAACCTGCAGACACAGAGGTCAAAGGTCAGAGAGGGAGATGACTGAAAAGTCCAACATTACTCAGAATTATTAAACACTTCTCCAGGCCTCGAGGGTTGTGCAAAGCCGACAGTACCTTCGTGAGCTTGCATACTCTCTGCGGTTTGGTGTTGCCTGTGGCGGATGCTCCATGTGACGCTATGGCATTTTATGATGAGTTTCATGGCTGCTGGAAAACGATTCTTTCACTATTCTAACTATGGCAACGTCTGAGTTCAGAATCCCGCCACCGTTTAAGGTGGAACGGGGAAATTTGAACAAGAAACTGGTGAATAGAAACTTCAGCCTCGTCCTCTTGTGAACCTGTGCTTAATACTACTTAGTATTACGGAATAAGAGACTCTTACATTTAGGAGATATTCAATGTTTGTTTAACAGCCTGCCACCCCGTGACCCTGTGAAAAAAGAGACTGCCCACAAGCGTGCTAAGAGTAAAAGGTAAGCAGACACCTGTTTTAAAAGCTCTGTTTTAAATGTGGGAACAGGCTTTGTTCACTGGGTTCACTGACGCTTAATGATGAAATAGCTCAGAGTGATTTACGACTGAGGTGCAGTGAGAAAGGTAGTGAGCCAAGTAATAGTTAAAAAAGACCAAGTGGACAAATTAAGTAGTTTTATGTTGTGAAGATGATATAGTGATTGGAGCGAGCCGCTGGTTGACAAAAAACAGTGTATGAAGAAAAAGCGTGCCTGGGAAATAAAGAGATTGAGAAAAAAGGAATAAAGAGAGAAAGAGAGAGAAAAAAAGCATGCTATAGAGAAAAAGCGCTTAGAGATAAATGTTAAATGCTTGTCTGTGTGTTTTGTCTGAAAGTGTGGCCATACAAAAAGTTGTAAAAAGACAGAAAAACTTCTGAAGATATGACCGCAGTGGTATGTGAAAACTAGGAGACAGGCTCCTTCTCTACATAAGTGTAGATGTGTATTACAACATTGAGAAGATCTGTTAGAGAGGACCTGATAAGTTTAACAGCAGCCACACTTGTGCGTGAGTCCGTGCCACTGCTGTCATTCAAAGCTATTAAAAATTGCTGTTGGGAAAGAAAAGGAAACTGTAAACTACTGAATGATTGAAATACAGAACTTAAAAATACAGGTGAAACTTAAAAGTAAGGTCAAATATAAGCAACTGACAGTAACAGCTCTATCAGTGATGAGTGTAAGCATAAACGGTGAGAATTTAATAAACGAAAATGGAAGTTAATTGAGATATGGATAGGACCTGATTTAATTTACATAAATAAAGCATAGTTGTCGAAGTATATGAAAAAAAGCTCTCGGTTCCTCGATAGAGAGTAGAGTGATTGTATTAAAATATTGTTCACAGTGATTTTATGGATAATCAACTTGTAATGGAGACACAAGGTGTTCAAACTCAATTTTGGCTTACAAAGATGTCAAAGGCAGAGAGAGTTGGCAATCATCAGTGTTGATTAGTGAAAAATTATGGCATTAGACCCAAATGGCTTAATTGGGATGAAGTGCAAACTGTTTTGGAACAAAACCATCGAGCTCCACTGTTAAATACAATATTAAATAGTCAAACCCCTTTAGTGGCTGAAGTTAAATCTGAGCGGTGCAGAGAGCGTGAGATACACCTTACTGTCCAAAGGAAGAGAAACTGTGGGAGAGAGAAAAGGCAGCTACTTTAGGACGGTGCGCTCCTCTACACTGGATTAAATTACAAGAAACTGACCCCTTACGTAAGAGTTTATGGCCTAACTCAACGCCAGTGCAACATCTATTTAGGAGTTCAAGAGATGAGCTGTTTAAAGGAGATTACTTTAAAGATTTCCCTTTGGGAAAAAAAAAAGATTGATGTGTGTGAAGCATGGTTGATGAAGAATTCGACTCTAAGATAATGATTGACATGTAAAAGTAAAAAAAAAAATGAAAAAGGAGGATTTTTGGAAAATAAGGGAAATTATCATTGTATGAGTATTAACCTGTCGTCTTGGCAGGTAAAAAGTTGCAGCGGAGAGAGAGGGAGAGAGAGAGAGAGAGAGAGAGAGAGAGAGAGAGAGAGAGAGAGAGAGAGAGAGAAAGGGGGGGGGGCTGTTAGCAGCGGACCGTGAGATTACACACACACACACACACACACACAGACCGCTCCCAGTCTGCACAGAGAGGCTACAATGCAGATTATTTTACTAATTAAAGGAAAGTAGATGTATTATGGGAAACACACCAACCAGGTTATAACAAAAGAAAGAAGTACCACCTTTCAGTCTGTTAGCTGAAGGTATTGTATCAAGGCTTAGCAGCAACATCATTCACATATGAGAAAGCAACATCCATAACAATGTGATACACATGTTATTAACATCTTACTCTTTTGTGTTGACTAATGTTAGACAAACAGGATATGACATAATTCTTTCAGCCCTGAATTGACAACACAGAGATGCTCCAGAGTGAATCCAGAGGTTAGCTACGCCTGAAGAAGGTACACCACATCATTGTGAATTATTAACCATAACCTTCTTAAAACCTGGAGAATATTTATATAGTGAACCACTATCGGATAGTGAGTTAACTTTGTGGATGGATCATGTTTAGATTTGCATATGGCATAAAATTAGATCTGACGATGGCCAACACTTTGTTAAAAAAGTTATTGACAATCACACAGACGTTAATTATTAATTAATAATTAAATGTAGATTGGGATGTGTATATCATCCATAATCGCAGGGCATAGTTGAATGTCAAAATGGAATTCTTAAGATATACGCAGTGAGCGGACAGAAAATTGCCTTAACGCTCTACCTTTAGCTTTAATGAGTATGAGAGTGACTACCAATCGAATCACTCATTTGACCCCTTATGAAATGCTCGCGGGCGCCCCATGCCTGTAACATATCTCTGACGGCCTATTAAAGGCCCTCAGCTCAAGCAATTGCAAGCTGAGTTGCACGAATATATAAAATGTTTGACTAAAATCCATAGAGAAATCTTCAGGGATGTGAAAGGTGCCACTGAGGGAGGAAAGTCAGACATTAGAGATCAGCTCAAACAAGTGCTGCCCAGAGACTATGTCTACATAAGGGTCTTCAAAAGAGGCTGGACTGAACCAAGGGTGAGGGTCCTTCCAAGGTGGTCCTAGCAACTCCAACTGCAGTTAAAGTGGAAGGACGAAAGGTGTGGGTCCATCTAAACCATTGTTCCAGAGCAACGCCTGCACTGACAGCAGTGACTGAACAACCACCAGCACAACAAGAAGAACACGTCCACAAGGATGATGACTCCCAAGAGCCTGGACCACGTGGAACTTCCAGACCAAGAACAAGAGCCCAAGCCCACTGAGAGACACCACCAGCACCATCGGACGGTGATGACGTGGACTCGGACATGGATGACTGAAGTGAGGAAACATGAAAACACAATCGTCAGCCTCTTGCTGTTGTCATTTGCTCTTTTTCATCACTTGTGTTCTGCTGGGACTGACAGTGTGCATGTTCTACATGAGACACAGCCCTCCACTCTGTCTGAAAAATGACTCACGTGCACACAATCAGATCCAGAACTCTCATGAGTGGATGAAAAGAGCGGAACCGGAACACTTTCTGGTGCCAAACCTGGAACTTGACTAATGGCATGCACTGTGAAGAGTACCGTCCAATTACCAGCCAAAAAGTTTGCCAAGGATTGCGTGGGACACCGAATGAGTTCAAGGTGTTGCATGAATGGACAGAGACAAGAGGGACATGCAAATGCAAATCAGTCTTGCTGTTGTCAGTGGTTTCCAGGTATTTCCAATTGTACACAAGAGCCTAATTGTGTTGGACCAAGTGTTACACCTAGGAAAAACAATGGGCTGTAACGTGTGTTCTCTTTTGCTACTCCTTAGAAATAATCACTCACTGCCAGCAGGTGATTCCTATGTAACATATAGGAATGGGTACCAAAGCATATGTAAAAGACATTAAAGAGAAAATAAGAGGAATAGGGATTTTAAAAGCTGATTGATGTAAAGTTTCAATAAGAATGACAGTAGGAGCAAGGTGTGAGTTAGTCCTCTGTCAAGGATACAAGTGTGAACCAATCATCTGTTATAAGACTATTAATAGAAATAATTCCAAAGGAGCTGTTGTTCAAAAATGGAAGGCACATGAGACGAAAATGGGACAAAAGGTTATAGAAGACATATTAGATCAGACTAATCTGAAGAAAAAGGGATGGTTGTCACAGAATATGCTTCCCAAAATATACTGTATCATTACTTACGCTATACTGCTGAAATCAACATGAAGACTGTATAACTTGCCATTCCAAACATGTACCAACTTTAGTGGCTATAGGATTAGAAGATTGTTGGGAAAGTGTTACAATCTGCCTTTACTCTGTTTACTGGACAGTTTAAGCCCAAAGGTTTTTAGAAACAAGGGTTTCGACAATTGTACAGCTATGAACAAACCTTTTACTGCTCCACCTCTGGTAATTAAGGATGGTAGATTAAATTACCTATTTTGTTTTTGTCTAGAAGGTAATGAGATTAATAGCTTTGCTGTTAGATATGATAGAAAGTTCCATCCATCCATCCATCATCTAAACCGCTTATCCTTCTGGGTCGCGGTGGGGTGCTGGAGCCTATCCCAGCTGTCATTGGGCGGAAGGCAGGATACACCCTGGACAGGTCGCCAGTCCATCGCAGATGATAGAAAGTTAAATGCCAATATTCAAATAAACAATAAAGGGAATGTTACCTTTGACATAGGCTTTACTGTAGGATCTCACCCTGTAGCAGACATATTTAGGATTTGTAAAGAAGGAAAAGAACTACTACAGTGCTTATCACATAATTAAGCTCCCTTTACTCTTAGTTGGATTGTTCTTATATTTGCATGGGGAGAAATAACAACTAGACATAAGAAAGACATTACCTGGCAAGAGAACAAACCAACACTAAACTGGGCAGGTGTTCCTGTTAATGTACCACCAGAGTTTAAAGCCATGTCAGATGAGAGCAAAGGAGGTTTATCTGTGTTTTTACCAGGTATTCAAATATCACAAAATGCCAAGTGGATAAATTATATTTGGTATAATCAACAAATGAATTACACCATCAAAGCTTTAGAATTGCTGGGTCAGCAACTAGATGCTACTTCTCGTATGGCACCACAAAATCAGTTTGCAATTGACATTATGAGAGTTCCTATTAGGGCGTCTGTGTTCCTTTTGGAGATAAATGCTGTGGTTACATTCCAATACATACAGCAGTAAAAGGTAATTTCACAAACGTAATGGATCAATTAAGGGCACTTAGGAATGACCATGTGGGAAACACTAAAGGCCCTTCTCTATTTGCTGGGGGATAGTTTAAAAGGTTATTCTGTAGTCAGTGGACAGCTATCTTATTAGGAATGGGGATGATTTTATTGGTTATTCCTGTGGTTTTATTATTTTGGAGTGTTGTGTTACACCTTTGGTACGCAGCATGATTATCAAAATTGTGGGGAATATTATGGGATATTTTCCTGGGTTACAAGTTGAAACTCCTACAGCCAGTAACAACTTTCATGTGACTTGCCGTGTTGCACCAGCTCAAGGAATTAATTAGGACTGAGTGATCCTATTAATCCATGTATTCTTTTTTTAAGTTGTCTTTATATTTTAGTGTTTCATTCTATCTTTAGTGACATTAGTTTGTGTTTTGGGAAATGTTATAATACATTGGCAAGTATGTTTGTTAACTATTTCAAGGGTCTGGTTTGCTTTCAGGCTGATGCTGGCTACTGACATCCAAGAAGTTGGGTTCAAGACACCAGTTGCCTCTTTGGGGTTGAGAGCTGGGACTGGAATGGTCCAATTGTGGCTTGTTAGGCTTATTGGCTTTCTTGGGACACCTGGTATGTGGGACTTAAAGAGCCTGTATAGTATGTAATTCTAAAGGTTGTTTGTTCGTTTTTATTTTAAATCTTTTCACCCAAAACTGATTCAGTGCGTTTTGTGGTTAAACTGATGAGTTCGGCCACCATTTATCAGAAAGACTGCAGTTAGCGCAACTCCACAAATCCTAGTAGGATTCGGGTCGTACCAGGCTGTAACTGGAGGGATAGGCTGTCCATTTCTACTCCAGGACACCACAGGGGCGGGGCTACCTTCAACTTCACATGGCAGGATGACCTCTGACCCCACTTCTGCTACCATCTTAACCATCTGTGTGCTCTCATCTACACCACGGATCCTGGGCTTTGCTGGAGAAAGAAAATTGAGATAAACAAAACAACACAATCATAACACAAACAAACAAAAGAAAATTCAGCAAATTCAGCTATAATAACACAACCTTCACTTCATTATGGCTCACATGTGTTTTCATTTCTGTTATTCTGCTTCTAAACTCTTTATTAGACACTCAGTCACACTTTTAATAAACAATTGAAAATGTATCTCTTTTAATTACACTTGTAATTAAATGTATTTCTGGATTTTGTTCTGTTCTATCTGATATTGTTTGAAATTAATTAAACAACACACATAACCTCTATTTTTTCTTTTTATTGCTGTTACCAAACAGCAAATGTAACAGAAGAAAATAAAACTTAACTTGTTTTACACTTTATCATCCAGTCTGTAAAGCATTGAGCTGCCACTAATATACAAACATGCTCTATAAGTTTTATTATTATTATTATTATTTTTTTTTATTTTAATTTTTTTTTTTTTTCTTAATAACTGTAAAGGGAAGTCTGGGTCGTTGCTGTATTTAGTGTTAATGCATTCTCTGCATTTCCACTTATACTTATGTTTACATGTCATTGTTAGATCATATTAAATCACTTGTGAGATGCTGTTTTCCAGAGAATTATTATTCGGTGCAACTGTAACTTGTGGCAAAGAAACACTATAATAATATAAAATCTGCACTCCAGACTTAAAATTGCATTTAGCAAAGAAAACGAAATGCTTGACCTCTCTATATGTGTGTTTGCGCTGGCCATACAGTGCAGTTCTTACTGTTAACGCTCAGCAGAATTTCTCTGCTAGCAAAGCCCACTTCACTGCTAGCCATGCATGTATAGCGTCCTGCATGTTCTGCAGTTGGGTTGGAGATGTAGATGCTTCCATCACCCTGTGAAACCACTGTGGCCACAGGGAGGCGCTCTTCACCCTGAGAATAAATGGACATTAAAAATGCTCAGAAACAGGTCCTTCACTGAGGTCATCTACACCCCTCTCCCTGCTCAGTGTGGATGCCATGGTAGTGTTTCTACACTTTTCTGACCGTTGTGCAGAGTTGACCCCAGCCAGGAAATGGATACGAATCGCAAGGACATTAGTAGCGCAACCTCACTAAACTACCGCTCACTATCAGGCAAATTGCTACTTCTTTCGGCTTTAACTTCCTACCTACACCTGAGTTAACTTCAACTTTCATACCATAGACACTACAGAGGATCTTCTTCTGCACATCTCGTATGTAAAGTATCACGTCTGATTCCATTACTTTCTGTGCTAATCTTTTGACTAGTTTCTCTCGGATTTATCCAGTGGTGGACAGTAACGAAGTAAATGTAATTGGTTACTGTACTTAAGTAGTTTTTCATGTATCTGTACTTTACTGAAGTTTTTCCATTTTGAGCAACTTTTTACTTTCACTCCACTACATTTCAAAGCCAAATATCTTACTTTTTACTCCACTACATTATGAGAAATCTGTCGTTCCTTTTGGCTTATGTGTGTATAAAAATGTAACGTTTTTCAAAGTCAAAACGAAAGAAGCGTGACGCAAACACACCAATCAGGGCACAGTGCGCACTTTGTTTTGAGCTAGTTTTGACCTGTTGGACATACCGACCCAGTGCAAGCACACAGTTCCATGACGGTGTTTTAGGGCCACTGTTCATAAAATTAAAATAGTAGACTTCAAGAAAAAAGTCGTAATATTTTGAGAATAAAGTCACAATATTTAGAGAAAAAGTCTGTAATTTTTTGAGAATAAAGTCACAATATTTGGAGGATTAAGTGGGCTAACTGTAGGGGGGCTGCCATAACGCGCTGGGATCTTGGTTGCTGTACTGGCACCGGAGTTCCACTCACTCCTGTCTCTTTCTGGATCAATCATTTTAATTATCAATTATTTACTGAATTCAGCTTTAATCTCCACTGTCCTGAAAAAGCCAGGTCTAGACTTTAATAATTACTGATTAATCTCTAATATCCTATTCACTGCTAAGTTGCTGGAAAGGACAGTTGCTACACCTGCTCCACCTAGAAGACCATGTAGAAACACTTGTGTTATTAGTGACATTAGTGACATCATGAAAAGACAACTGCAATATTCTTCTATCTGGCCTCCCTGTCAAAACCCTCACTAGGTTACAGTATGTTCAAAATGCCACTGCTTGGATCATCACCTTTTCAAAGAAGAATGACCACATCACCCCTGCTCTTCAGAGTCTTCAATGGTGACCCATTACAGTCAGTGTTCAGTATAAGGTTCTCCCTATAACATATAAAGCTCTGCATGGTCTGGCTCCTCAATATTTGGTTGAGCTGCTTTATCTATATGTCCCATCCAGCACTTTAAGATCACAAAATTTAGGCCATCTTCATGTTCCAAGGCTTAAATTGACCTCTATGGGTGGTTGATGATTTAGCGTAGTAGCTCCAAAATTATGGAACACTCTCCCCCAGTCTATTCGGGATGCAACCTCTCTGTATTTACTTAAATCTGTGTTAAAGACTTACTGGTTTTTGCCCTGTTATCATTGTTCCAACCCCCCCGAGCCCCAAACCCCAAAGCTTTCTCTGGTTATCAGCCCTATCTATGGTTAAAGGTGCTTCATGGAGACACTTTATCACAGCACAATATTTAATTAATCTCCAGACTAGAAGTGTCAAAAAGAAAAGGAATAGACTGACTGTTGCCCACCTTGGACCAGCTGATGGTGGGTTTCGGGATTCCAGAAACTTCACACGGTAGAGTGATGGGAACGCCCTCACTGGCCTCAAACTGCAGAGGACCAGCACTGATCTCAGGAGGCACTGTGAGGGTAAAGCTGTCAGTTAAATCTGAACACTGAGCACCAATCATCAGTCTATCTGTATATCTGTCTACAGCTGAGCACTAACACACTGACCAAAGACAGAAGCCAAGAGATAAAGCTGATTATAACTGAGCTGTGAGATAAGCAGGTAACAGCTGAGACTAAATGAAAGACAGGGCAGCACATCAACGTCTCTCTGTTTAGTTTCTCTCTATTTTTCTCTCTGATAGGGTTCAGTGCTGGATCTCTACTCTGCTGCAGTGAAATCTTCCTCACCGTGAATCTGCAGGATCACTGATAAACTGGCTGTTCCCGCCACATTCACAGCTGTGCACACATATTTCCCAGCATCCTCGAGGGCGGCTCTGTCCATGTGCAGGCTGCCATCACTCCTGAGGAATGCTCTGCCACCTGCCTGAATCTGTGAGGTCAAACAGTTCAGATCTGTTTAGTTAAAACTTTGTCATTGCCTCACTTACTTACCTACAACTGGCCAAATGTATCAATCATCAATAATCCAGCACACATGTGATGCAATTTAAAGCTGACACTCACCTGCCGTCCATTATGAGTCCAGATCCGTTCAGGCAGAGGAATCCCATCCAGCAGCGTGCAGGGAATAGTGAAGGATTCACCACGAACAGCTGAAATCTCAGAGGAACCCTGAGCCAACACAGGCGGCGCTGTGGAGCAGTTCAGAACAGAAAGAGTCGAGTGTCAAACACTGCAGCTATACATACAACAAAAACTGAGTTAAGGAACAGATCCAATATGAAGAAACATGAACACACACACACCTAAGCCAGTGACGGTCAGTCTGGCGCTGACCTTCAGAGAACCGAACTGATTTTTGGCCTCACATACATAAACACCTTCATCATCCACCCAAACACCTGCAGAGAGAGCAACATCAGTTATAAACAGGTTATAAACAAACAACAAACAAACCTGAACAAACAATCACGGCTCAATCTCACAAAGCAGGTCTTCTTGAGTAACCAGCTAATTTTAATTTGATCAGATTGTGTTATGTTGGTCTCACAGTAGTGGATCAATATTTACCAGGATAAATTTCCCTGACAACTTAGCTACACACAAAACTTCCTTCAGGACCTGTTAAATTTGTGATTTCAGATCATAAACAGCCTTCTGACCAAACAAGGGCAGCCTTCTGACCAATCACAAATAGCCTTATAATCAATCAGGGACAGCTTTCTGACCATTTAGGGACAGACCTTTGACCAATCAGGGGCAGGCTTCTGACCAAATGTCTGACAAAATGTTTTATATGAAATATTAGACATTAGATATCAACTGGATTTGAGTTATCAGTCATATTTTGATTGAGCTGCTTTTTCTGCCCCTCATGATTCGCTGTTAAGCCTGAGGTCTGAGATGTTCACCTACAGACAGCAGCAACTGCTGGTGCTGCATCTTTAGCTTGTCAAAGCACTGAAGCTCAACCCAGCAGGAGAAGAAAGCAGGACTGTGGAATGAAACACAAGGGCTAACAGAGACACACAGTCTGCTGCTCTGCCTCCACCCGACAGACCAGATCACATCCCGATTCATCCGATCCCCACCTACAGACTCGTACTTCACCGGCTGACTGTTACCACAGGACTGAGAGGAGGCGAATAAAGCAGGCCGAGGAGGTTCTGCAAGGCAGACTGGAGGAGATTAACTGGGGTTTGCTTTCTGAGTTACATGGCGACGACACTGAGGGACTTCATCACTGTCTGTGTTACAGATTACATCCACCTTTTTGTGGATAACACAACTCCTACAAAGACAGTGCACCAGTTCCCCCTCTTACAAAACATGGACCACAAAGGACCTGGAGGAACTGCTGAATAAAAAGAGAGTCTTCAGGTCAGGAGATAGAGGGATAAGGAGAGTAGGGGGAAAAGAGAGCTAGAGGGACCAACCGGAGAGGACCAGGGGCCGGATACATGAAAGCTTTCTTAGAAAAAAAAGTTGTGGAAGTTCTTAGGACAAACAGTAAGAAGTATTAACTCTGGGCCACATTCACCAACTGTTCTTAAGAAGAAATTTTCTTCTTTAACCCACTTATGCAGTTTTGGCAGTTCTTAGGTAAGAACAGAATCTACACTCAAGAGCACAAAGGAGAGAACAGTTCTGCGCTTTAAGAACACAACATGAATCTGACGTAAACTTTTTTATTAGGATCTTTCTCAAGAACACACTTTAGAACAGACTTAGGAGGATATTGGAGAATGAGGCCCAGTGATAGTGGAAGAAACAGCCAACAGGAGAAAATCCTCCTTAGAAAATTCGGTAACTGTGGAGTGACGGAGGAAAGAGAGAGTCGAGGATGAGGAGCAGCAGAGGCAGCACTGAGTCTGATCAGTTTAGATGATCAACTCATCAACACAGCCTGAGACGAGGGAGAGTCCGTCATAAGATTAGGAACACATTTAAAAACAATGTTTTCAAGAATAACAAGTTTTTAGAATTATTCTTCAGAAAATAGTTAAGAAAAAAAAATAAAAGAATTCTTAAGACATTATTAAAATTTATAACTTTTTCTTAAGAATTAAGTGAGAAAAAACATACATTTAAGAAGATTTTCTTTCTTAAGACACTTCTGAGAATCCGGCCCCAAGTGGTAGAGAGGAACCTGGACATGTCTAATTAGGTGAATCTTTTTTTAAACAGATTAGACTCTCAGGGCTGGATGTACATATAAGCACAGGCACAGATCCTTAATGTGACCATAATATGAAATTAACATTGCATTTGCTGAAGCTCAGAACCACAGAACCACAAACAAAACCTGCACACAATGAGCTGCTAAATGTGACGTACAGATGGATGAACTCACTGTGGATGTGAAGGGGTGCAGAGGGTAGTGAGGTCACAGGGTCAGATCCCTGGCTGGAGATCCGGTGTCCGTCCATCCGGCGCCAGGCCACAGTCAGAGGAGGGGATCCATGAGCCGAACACGGCAGGGTCACATTATCACCCACATTAACACTCACATCCACAGGAGTCTTGGAGAAAAAAGGAGCAGCTGAAGAGAGAGAGAGAGAGAGTGAGATAGAGAGAAAGAGAGAGAGAGAGAAAAAGAGAGAGAGAGAAAAAGAGAGAGAGAGAGAGAGGGACATTCTTGGAGGAGAGGCCATTCACTAACATCAAACGTGGCAGTTTCCATACAGAGAGACTGGACCATCAGCAGCAGGAGAGTAGGTGTGGGGGGGGCTGCAGTCACATTCGAGGTTAAAATCTCATCCTTACAGAAAACAAACATCGTAACGCACCTATTTCAGTACAGATCTTTTAAGCTGTTAGTCGATACTTTCTTGAAAATGTTCTCACCTCCCACCTGCAGTGTAACCATGGCTGAAGATGACCCGGCCTGGTTGGACGCCTCACAGATGTACTCTCCAGCGTCAGGTTCCTGCACTCTCTGAATATGCAGGACTCCACGGTTAATCTGTCGCGCAGGAAACTGCATCGGCCCCAACTCCAGCACTCCTGACACGCACGCAGAATAAACACACACAATGAAACTTAAAGAATTGAAAAAATAAAAGCCTCTGAAATCGTGTGTTCACCTTTTCTCCATTTGACCAGTGGATCCGGGATGCCTGTGACTCTGCACTCCAGAACTGCATCACCTCCGACTACAGCTGTCACCACCTGCTGCACAGCATGTATACTGGGTGGCTCTAAGAAAAAAAAAAACAAAAAAAAAACAAAAGAGTTTAGATTAAAGACATATTCAGACTTTTAGATAAGAATGCTTTTACAGGTATAATAATATTCAGATCATCTTTCAGATTATCAATCTCCTCATTTAGATTACCAATCTCCCCACTCAGATTATCAATCTCCTTTCTCAGATTATCAATCTGCCCACTCAGATTATCAATCTCCTCACTCAAATTATGAATCTCTCTGCTCAGATGATCAATCTTTCCACTCAGATTATCAATATCCCCCATTCAGATCACCACTCTCCCCATGCAGATTTACAATTCTCTGACTCAGATGATCAATCTTCTCACTCAGTTTATCATTTTGAGCCAACCTGCATAGCTGAGAGTAGCTGATTGGGAAGCCATGCCAGCATCATTGGTGGCTGAGCATGTGTAGTTCCCAGCATCCTCTGGTACAGCCTCTCTGATGGT